CGCCAGGTTCCTGTTCACAAACCGTGGATGGCCACATGCCGAGTTCCCCGGGCTCCTGTGCTCAAATGATGCCCGGCCACACTCCAAGCTCCCGAGACTCAGTTCCCAAATTGATACACGGACACACTCTGAGCTTCACAGGCTCCTGTGCTCAAACAATGTCCACACACACTCTGAGCTCCTTTAGACCCCTTCATACACAGGTGTAACAACCACACCTCGCATCACTTCTTGCCCGGTGCCCACCAGCCCATGCCTGGGCACAGTGTGGGTGCCCTCATCCCGCCTCCATGGACAGGCGATGACTTCACCCCAAAGCCATCCACAGCCACAGGGCAGCTTGGTGTGGGTTGGCAGGAGGACCCCAAGTCTCACAGATCCTTCCCATGAACTGGTCTGAGAGGGGCATGTGAAAGCAACGGAGCTCGTGGTGGAGGTGCCAGAGCTCTTTCAGCTCATGAGGTGTAAAGTGGCTGCAGTCACAGGCCCCTTCCCCACTGCCTACCCTGCCCTGGTCACCCTTGCGTGCCCCTGTGCCATGGGAGACACCAGCTTTGTCATCAGCTTCCCTTGGCACGGGCTTGAGACCTAAAAAGCAGAGGATAAAAATAGCGCTCGCATCCAGATGATTAAACCAAATCCCTGTAAAATGCTCTTTTCCCACCAGGCTGCCGTCAGCAGCAGCATGTTTGCCATGGCTGCACTCAGTGGCTGTGTCATCATCCCTGTGCGTGCAAAGTAACCCCCGGGCACGGGCAGCAGTGCTGAGCAGCAGTTACCGTCTGCTGGAAGGATAACGAGCCAGAACGTGATCCTCTGCTTTAAAAATAAACAGTTCACGCTGCCTCAGAGCCTCTGAGAGGGGAAAACAAAGCATAAATAACAGAGACACAGCAAGGTGTGAGCCCAGTGTGTCCCACCACAGGAGCACAGCCTGAGATCGGAGCATCGGAGTCCAGGCTCACATCCTGCCATCAGCCCCCAGCGTGCCCAGGGGCACCCCCAGCTCCTCACAGGGGCACAAAACCCAACAAGCATTCAGGGCTTCACATCCCCAGGGCTCTGTTCCCCGTGTCCTGTGGGAATAATTGCATGTGCCAGTTCCTGTAAGGGCACTGTGAGGCCTTGGCCGAGCAGAGAGCACTCTGCTAGTGTAGCAGCAAGGTGGTCTCTGTGCTCTTTGGATTCGTCCTTTTGGTCCCCAGATAAACTCAGAACATCCAAAATCTCGAGTGTGAAAATGCTCATCCAGCTTCTGCCGCCCTTCTCATTCCTACAGCATTGAGAAGCACATTAAATGGATAATGGGTACTTGTCTGAGGAGAGGCTGGGGTGTATTTATAACTCAGGAGTTCAGGTTTCCATCTCACATCCTATTTGCACTTCTCCATTGAACTTCCTTGCTAAAAAGCTATTAATTTTCACTTGATGCTTCTCAGACCTGGTTTCATCCTCCAGAATTGCTATTAGCGCTAAAAACACTCAAAAATGACAAAGACGAACTATTTTTAGTTGTCCTCCTGCAAGAGCTGTTCTCCTTTCCTCGTTCAGGATTTTGCTGGTGAGCCTGGAAACACCCTTCATTTACATGTTTTGTGTGCGTAAGTATTACTTCCTCTTGCACCACATTGCAGATGTTCCTCATCTGGAACTGGCACATCCTGTGCAGGACATCAGGGCACAGAGTGAGGGCAGTGGCTCTTCTGGCTGAGCTAAAAATCACAGTCCCCACGTTGCTGCACCGCTGTCACTTGTTGAACATCAGCCATTATGAGGCAGAGGCATTTTTACCAATCCTTTTTACCAAAACACGGACATTTGTGCAGATTGCCGTGTAGCTGAGAAGCAATGGGGGCTATTTCTAGCTAAGCCTGTTTAAATGCATTTGCTCATTTAAAATCAGATTTTTCATGGTGAAAACTGAAAGAGCTCTGTGTCTAAACAGGAATCAACAGAGCAGAGCATGAGGAGAGCGTTGGACTAGCAGGGAGCTCCAGAAATTAAAGTCTTATATCCTGATCAGTCCTGGGTTAATTTTGTTGCTGTTCAAGCCCCAGATGAGAACAGCCAAACCCTCAGCAAATGTCACTGTCAGCACAGGCTGGTTTTGGCTGCTCTGCTCTTTCTTTGTGTCCCCTCCTGGAGCGAGCGGGGATGGGGAGTGGGATGGGATGGGATGGCCCAGGACACCTGCCGTGCACATGAAACGTGGCCAAAAAGCAGAGGTCAGGCCTGAAAGAACAGAGGGCTCTGTGCTCTCTGACTGACAGCTTTTAATGGGAGAACAGTCACTCAGCACTGGCATGTCTGCTGCGTTAATTGCCATTAGTGTCACCCTTGCGGGAACAGAAATTCATGGCAAACCTCGAATTAGCACACTCTCGTAATTCCTAACTTAGGCAGAACCATTTGCAGAGGCAGCACGTTCCAAGCAACTGGAGCAGAGACAAGGAATGATACTCAGCTGGCCCTTGGATGTTCAATTAAGAGAAGAAAAGCAGCAGAGGTCACACTCCTAACTGCGTATTTATGGCTCTGTTCTGGAAATTCATCCGGAGCTGCCAAAAGGGCCCAGCACCGTTAATGTGCAGATGTGTGTCAGGGCTCCCAGCCCCGGCTGCCCAGCCCCAGGCACTGTGGGCAGGCTCTCCCTGCACCTGATTTTCATTTCAAGTCTCCCACTCCCCTCCTCCCACCGTCTCCTGAGAGCCCCAGAGAAACCCTGGCCTAATAAAGTGGAAAATCTGCCACCATCTCCGATGGCTGTAGCGTTGCCCCAGCAAGGTCAAGGTGTCTTTGCAGAGCAAACACCAGTGGGGTTTGACGTGCAAGTGGAAGAATGTGAAACAGGGATGGCCGGGATTTGTTGCTGGTCCCAGCGTTTCAGGTTTGGAAATCCCTGCCCAGACATTGCCAAGCCCATCGCTCTGCAGAGCTCAGGGGAAGATTGGGAATTGGAAATCGCAATAATTCAAAACTGTCCTTGAATGGCTGTTGACCCAAATTCCTGTTTTCCAGATGAAAAGAGCCCCTGGCTTCCCTGGGGCAGAAAGCAGGAAGGACAAAAGCAAAACCCCAGAACCTACTCTGTTTTATCAGAGGAGAAATATTTCCTAAGGGGAAAATCCAATCAATACTTTGCAATTTCCTAACAATCCATGAATCATTGCAATTATGCAGAGATAATTCAGGCTTTCCAATCCAGCTGCTAAATTAGACAAAAGCATACTCTTTGCACACTCTACCTCCAATTTGACACATCACTCAGGAAAAAACCCCTTCAAATATAAAATCCATGCACAGAAATAAAAAAACCCAACCACACTCTTTTTTAAAACCCTAGACCAAATTAAAGGGTCTACAACATGCAAGGAATTCTATTTTTCAGGTGATTTCATGCCACAGGTAGGAGCAATGAAAATACTCAATAGGAATTTTTCTGCTGATAGCTCACCTGAATTCTACCACCTGAGTTCTCCAGCTCTAGGAAGAAAAGATATAAGATGAAATAGACCAAATCAAAATTAATTTCTAAATCAGCCTTTTCTTTCCTAACCTTCAAGTTGAAATTTATAAAAAGACCTGGATCTGAACAGGGACCTATCCAAAATCAAACCTCATCCAGGTTTTGCTGTTCTTTAGGGGTCTTGGCAGCACTGAGGAAAGAGTGGGAAGGGAGCAGGACAATTAACCATCTTCTGGAGACATTCCTCACTGGGACAATATTATGGAATAAGCAGAAAGGAAGGGAAGTTCTCAATGTGCTTTGGGAACAGGAATTGAGTGCAGGCCTCTGTGACTTGGTGTTCCTTGTGCTGACTGTCAAAATGAAGCCTTCGGTCTCCTGCACCCATTTTGGACTCAACGCTCATCTCTTTGTCTGCGTCTGCTGCCTCCGGAGACATCCCAGCAAGACAGCACTGGCAGCCCCAGGATAATTGCTGGCCAGGGCATCATTGCATAGAATCGTCACTCCAAATCTCCTTCCTCTTCCACACCCTGCCACAGGGGTTATTTCCTGTCGAGGGTCAAAATGTGCTGGATGGCACCAGACAAACACAGCGACAGCAGTGCAGCCATCGTCACGTGGCCCATCATCCTCGAGTTTGGATTCAAAAGCCCGGCCCTGGGGAGTGAAGAAGGCAGTTTGGCTTCTGTGGCCAAGTCATTCTCTGCTGAAACAACCAGCAGAGCTGCCTGGCTGTGCTCAGCATGGAGATGTTGTGAAGCTGCACGACGGTACAGGGAGCCAGGCTGAGACTGTAGAACTCTGCTCATTAAGATCATTAGAGAGCTGTCAGATGGAACAACTGGGATGGCTTTGATCTGGCAGAATACCCTTCCTCCTGTTCCCAGACCTTGGGAACCATCCAGTTCTCCACAATTTATTCTTTTTTTCCAAGTCATGCAAACAATACCCTTCGGGTTTTTTATAGGTTGCAATAATTTCTTCAGGAAAACTGGAAGCTGTAACAGCTATAACAAGATTAATTTATTAAATAGAAACCCTGATATTTCAGTGATTCCTCTATAAATATATTCACAGTTGGTTTTGCCAAGAAAATGACAAAATGTTTCTGATAATCCCAAAGATATTCCCTATAAATCCACTAGGTGTCCTACTGTTTTCGAGCAATTAGGCTCCAGGTTTGTTTGGGTTCTTTCCTTAGTTTTGCCGGTGAGGAATTAGTTGGAGGCTTTAGTGGAATTAGGTCTGGGTTAGCAGGTTGAAGGGATGTGTACGTGTGGTTTGTGGGACACAGCAGGACATCCGGCTCACGGCGGCTGCTCTGCTGGCAATTGCCACTAATGCTTCCCACAGAGACCAACTCAAGGTTAGAGGCTGGAAGAGAAAAGGGAAAAGAATCTGCCTTCCTCTCTTGGGAATGCTAAACAAGACCCAGCCGAGCCAAATCCTCTTTTCAGTCAACCTTGGTCATCTATTTATAGGACTGCTAAAGCGAGCCCAACGCTGACCTCAGAGGTGGTGGCAGCACTTGTTTAACCTTCATCAGAGCTGCTCTGCACAGGCTGCAGTTGTGACATTCCTGGTCACTGCTCCCGTCCCTGATGGGTGTCCCACTGCTTGCCAAGGGCCAGCTCGGCACCCGCTCACGAGGTGTCCTGTCACTCCCAACGACGAGGGCATGTCACATGCATACCAAGGAAAGCAAGCTGAGAAACAGCCAAAGGGGAATTTACTCATCTCAGGAAATACTTGAGATGGAGTGTGGCCACTGGAGAGTGGGCAGGTGCTTGGCTGCACCCTCACTGCCTGGCCTGGAGCACACACACCGTATCCATCGTGCCATCCGGGACATCCCTCAGCCACCCTGGGGTTTGGTGCTTGCACTGAGCCCCAGCATGGCAGGCTGGAATTCTCTGAACAGCCATCTCCTACACATTGAAAAAACAGCTTTCGTTCTTCCAGCATTCTTCAGTGCTCAGATGTGCGATGGATCAGTGAGGGACAACTGCAGGGTGGTGGTTATGGTCCTGTCACTGAAGCACAAACCACATGCTGTGCAATCCCTCCAGCCTTGCCCTCCTGAGCAGTGGTTGTTCCATTGGCAAACACCCCTGTTCACTCTCATTTCACAGGGCTGCCACAGCTTGAATCTACCCCACATCTACGTGAGGCAAGCGAGGAGAAAATCAGTTTTGTTTCCTGTTTAACAAATGCCAGGGGCAAAGATGCTCTCAAACAATGAGATTCTCTCCTTTTCCAGTAGGTGCTTCACAGCCAGCAATCCTGCCCAGGGCTATTGGCTGTGCAAACAGGCACCGGGCAAGGTGTCAGCACCAGTTTAATCACAAGCTGCACGGGGAAATCAGAGGGGGAACAAGAGCCTCCTGTCCTTGGCCCGCCAGGATTCCTCACCATCAGGCATTGTGCATCCCGGGAAGCGCCGAGCATCTGTCCCGTGCCATGTGTCACCGCACTGCCTCTACTCCTTGCCATTTGTGCCGAAGGTATGACAGTCATTTTCCTGACAACCTGCAAGAAGGAAAGGATCTTCCTCAGAGTGGCTCCACAGGTACCTGCTGCAGCTCCACGCAGCGTGCACCACGTGTGGCTGAGAGGGGGTGTAACCTGGGGCAGCGTGTGTTTGCTGAGCCACAGAACAAACACCTCCAGCCCTGCCGCGACGCAGAGCATTGTGTGGGAGCCATCTGGTCCCGTAGCTGAAGGAGCAAATGGAAAATCTGATGAAAGCACAAACAGTCACAACGAGAGAGACTGGAAAGATGTGTTGATATTCCAAGCAGGAGTCTCCTTCCGTGGGGGGTGATCTCCTCGTGCGTTGCCTCTCTCCTGCTCCTTCCTCTGGAAAGCTGCTGTCAGGCAGGTTGCACTCACAGCTCTGTGAGTACAACCACCTTTGGGATGCTAAAAATATGTTTCATGTGCTTGAGCAAACCTCCTGAGACAAGAGTTTTCTCAGCAGCCAGCTGTGCAGTGAGCAAGATGTGCAAGCTGCTTTGGAGCACAGCACATTTCACAAAGCTTGGATTGATCCAGAGCTCCGGCTGGGTTAAAATGTGCTCTCGATTAGGATTAGTCACTAATATTTTCTCACTGCTGGGCAGAATTACAGCTCATGGCTGTGACAGACTGAAAGGAGTTCCTCCTCAGCTGGCCTAGATGTTCTCAGCCCTGAAGTAGAGATGAATTTTGGGGGGGACTGGAGCATTGGGGGACCAACAGGGAACTTGGTGCAGTGGGTAAAGTTTAGGATGGCTTGGATTTGTGTCTAACTCGTCCAGGATATTGGGTTACTAAAACTGGCTCCATCAGATTTTGGAGCCAGTCTGGGTTTGCCCCATTCTGGCCCTGGTTTCTGATGTTTGAAGGGCACGGGGAAGGCAGACAGGAGATGCCTATTTTAGTACATCTCTGCAGGGAATGCACACGTTTCAGACAGGTACACATTTGTTTCCTCTGACACCAAATTAATGGGAATTGATGTATTGATTCTGCAGTTCTCCTAAAAATTGCTTCAGGTTTTGGCCTGTTTCCAAGCTGGTTAAATGCAATGTGCACACAGTTCAAGACATATATTTAATTATTCTAATATTAATACAGTTTAATAAATTAAGTTCCCTGTGAAATCCAGAAGATAATAGGATTGAGAGCAGTCCAGAAAGGCAAATGTATTCTAGGCTGCATCCCCAGCATGGGCAGCAGGTCAAGGGAGGGGATTCTGCCCCCAGCTCTGGGATCCCCAACATCAGAAGGATGTGGAGCTGCTGGAGCGAGTCCAGAGGAGGCCCCAGAGCTGCTCCCAGGGCTGGAGCTCTGGGGACAGGCTGGGAGAGCTGGGGAGTGTTCAGCCTGGAGAAGGAAAGACTCCAGGGAGACCTCAGAGCCCCTTCCAGGGCCTAAAGGGGCTCCAAGAGAGTTGGAGAGGGATGGAATGACAGGACAAGAGGAGTGACTTCCCACTGCCAGAGGGCAGAGTTAGATGGGATAATGGGAAGGAATTCTTCCCTGTGAGGGTGGGCAGGCCCTGGCACAGGTTGCCCAGAGAAGCTGTGGCTGCCCCATCCCTGGAAGTGTCCAAGGCCAGATGGGCCTTGGAGCAATCTGGGCTAGTGGAAGGTGTCCCTGCCCATGGCAGGGGGTTGGACCTGGATGATCTTTAAAGAGTCTTCCAACCCAAACGATTCTGGGATTCCATGACTCTATTATACAACAATAACCTGATCAGTCATTTGTCACTCTCAAGGGTTACATCTCCTGTATTTATGAATATTCCCACATTTAACTAACTAAATACTGTCAAAGTACCCACCTTGTGTACTGTATTTGTAGACTGTGGGAGCATCTCTGTGCCATGGAGGCTCCTGGTCCCAGAAGGAGAATGTATCTTGTATTAGGAACGGAGTAAGAGTCTTGCATTTTCTTCTTTGATCACTGTGGCTCTGCTTTTATGATCTCACCAGGAAAGTTACTTGATGTTTCTATATTTTGAGTGTCAGCATGGCTCCTGCAAATGTTTGAAGTCATCCTTGTGCTTCATTTATTTTCCGGCAAACCAGCATCCATCTGCAGTTTAAGAATAGAACATACAAAAAAACCTGCATAAAACTCCAAAGCACAGAGCACAGAATTTCTGGGCAAAATTCCCTTCTCACCTACACTTTCCTAACTCTGAAGAACTATCTTCATCTTTCTCGTTGTTGCTCTGAGCCCCACTTTCATCTCACGGTGTCAGACCCAAAGGATCTGCCACGCATGGCGAGATCCAATTTCATCACAACTGTTGCAATACCCTAGACAAAATTACAATCTCAGAGGAAGTACAGAAAGATGATGCCATGGGCCTCAATATCCTAAAAATATGCTGCTGTCAGTGGTTCCCTGTTAGTAGTTTTCCACACAAATGAAAATCCTACAGTGGTGGTGAACTGCTGAACCATGTGGAGCAGAGACTTTCTCCACTCACACAAACAGAGAATCTGCCCATTTTGGCTGAGCTCCCTTTTAAACCAGCGTGTTCGAGAGCTCTTTCTTTAAACAAAGACACGCTTTGCTCTACATTGTTTGGTATTTATTTTGTATAACTCCGTTCCTTGGCTGTCCATGCTATAGAAATGCTGTCAAGCTCCAAGAAGACAGATTGCCTGGGCTGGAAGCCCCAGCCCAGCTCCAGGGAAGCACATGGCTTCCTCACCGTGATTAGGATGATTATAATTACTATTCAGTATATGGGGCAATTGTTTTTGGTGTTTTAAAACAGAACAAAACAAAACAAAACAAAACAAAGCAGGTTTGGAAACGGAAACAGAATACGAGAAAAAAAAATAGTTGTTAATAGGAAGTGGTTGACCATCAGGAAGTAACTCCATATGCAGACTGTGCTATCCGGCCTTTCCAGTCACCAGAAAATGGAAAGAAAAAACCGCCTTTAAACATCCCAAAGGCCCTCTAGAAAACAGTGCACCTCCCTTTCAGTAGGTGTAACATTTTACATCTCCTGTCCAACAGCTGCTGGTGCTACAGGCCAAGCGAGCAGGCCGTGGAACGCAGAGCCTGAAGTTCTGCGGCGGTCGCTGGAGGCAGAACCATCTCACGCTGCAGCAGATGCTCCCTGGCTTCCTGTGTGCCCATCAGCCTCACAAAGGCACCTCGCTGGGCACTGCTGTGCCCGGGGTGACCGCGGAGATGCCACGCGGGCCGTGCGGGGCCGATCCCTGGCGGGGTCGGTTGGGACGGATCGAGCGAACGTTGCGGCTTCTGAGAACTCGCTGGCATTTTCCACGTGTACGTGAGTCACTGCCCCACGCAGCGAGGAAGTGGCAGGGCACAAAATCACTTCAGAAATGCCTGTCTGAGGTGAGGGTGTTAGTTTGGCTGCGGTGTGTTCATGTTTTATATGTTGTTTCTACTACACCACATAAATCCTACCAACTGTATCCCTCCAAAGCCTGGAATATGCTCCAGAAGAGAGTTCTTAACCATCAATTTAAATACCACTTCCACTAAACACTTTTCCTTGCTGTTTTAATTCCTGTTTGTGTTCATTATGAGCTCCTGTAAATTATAACTTTGATATGACTGATTATATGCAAGTGTTAGAACAGTGCTCAGTCTATTTTAGGGCTTTGAGATAGTTTAATGAGACTGATTTTTACACTGATGCATTTAAATTAATATGCATTCCCAGTGCAGGCAAGACCCAGGGCAATTAAATTTATTACTTAATAGACAGGATTGCTTTTCCTTCATGAAATAGAAGAAATAAAGGAATTTACTTCATATAAAATCTAGCATATTTTACTTCATATAAAATCTAGCACAGATGTTTTGCTTTAACAGTGACAGAAAAGGATGGTTTTGGAATGGTTCCTCTGCCCCTGATGAAACCAGAAACCCAAAGTGACAGCTCTGATTTACCACTGGTAGAAATGGTTATAGATATTCCCATGGGAAACAAAAGGTTTCAAAGGAACAGTGGCTCTGTTGGTGTTTGCCACACAACACTACCAGGGGAAAAGGTAAACATTATTGCCACTTTTAAATCGTTGATAGCATTGTGAATCCCTGCTGACCTGGAAAATGCAAACAGTGGGCACAGTGGTCCCTGGAGTATTCCTTCTAGGGGTGATAATCCGTGTATTCCAACTTTTTTATGGTCCATATTCTGGGAGGAACTGAAGCCCTTTGAGACAACTGGTTCCAGGGGAAGTAGGTGTGGATACTCCTCTGAGAAAATGAGCTTCCATATGAAAGCTGTGGACTCAAAATTCAGTCACCTTCCTGTCCCCAAAGGCGAGCAACAACAAGACAGTGCATGACACAAAAGAGAGAAGTTGTTGAAATCAGGATATGAGGGACTTTACGCAAAGGACAGACTTGCAGGCAAAGGTGGATCTGATCAATGCAGCGATGGAAACTGCCTGAAGCTTCCAGGAAAACACCACGGGTACGACGCTGAAAGAGGAAAACAGGGAAAAAGGGGACCCAGGGATCAAACTTGGATGAATTGGGAATGTGGAGGAGGTGAGCACAGTTCTTTGGGTGAGTTCCTGGAAGGGTTGCAGTAAATATATTAAACCAGCAACGTATTGGCACTTGACTGGGCAAGAGGGATTTTGTTTGAAGTATTTAAAAACTGAGGTCAGTACTTAGACTGTAAGGGGTAGCACAGTTGGAAGCAGGATGGATGAGAAGGCTTAACAGGGCTTCATTGTAGTCAAATTAATTCAGTTTAAAGAATTAATTCTCTTTTAAATTGACTCCACTCTGCACACTTGACATTTTGGAAAAGCTGCCATTGCTTGGCCTTCTGGTAAATGGTTTTGCATCTGTTTTCCATTGTTTGCCTCTTGAAAAACAAATCCTTGTCACTAACAGGAACCATCAGCAGCATGGAACAAATTGACTTGCCAAGGACATTTCCTCCAATTCCATTATTTATACTGGAAGTATTTTGTTGTATCAAGAGTCAGACAGTGATTTTCAAAAATTGCCATTTATTAAGATAGTTTTTTACTGTGTTATGAGTCAAATTCAAACGTGGTTATGTGAATTACTTTCTTTTCATGAACATTTGCTCACACTTTTTTCAAGGAGGTGATGAAGCAGTTTAATTAACCATTAATTCACAGTTCTCTCTGCCTACCTGGTTTTGTAGAGCCCCTTACTGTTGCAGCAGAGGATCTGCCCCAGGTACGAACCACACCAGATACATCACTCTCCCTCCTCTGCTCTCAGCACACTGATTTTGAGCCTCAAGTGGCTGAGATGGAGTGGATCCATAATATTATTTGGCACAAATTGGGTTAAACAAATAGGGTTTGTATTTTACTCTCAAGGTGATTTGGTTTGTGTTTGCTCCCATATCCTTCCTCAGCTGCAGGTTGTGGACAAGTTGCTAAGGCAGTGTTCATCTCCTCCTAACCCCCCCGTGGAAGTGGCAGTGATACCTGGCAAAGGAACACAACCATTAATTTGGGGGGGGTCTGATGAGTTTGGGGGCTCCCTCAGGTAACCTGGAGCCAGCTCTCAGAGAGCTCAGCACAGGGCAGAGCCTGGGCTGACCTGAATTCCCGTGACTCAGCGGGCAGATTTCGTGTTGTGACTCTGTTTTGCCGGTTTCTCAGCAGTTGCTCAGACGTTCAACAAGGACAGTCTCACCTGACCGAATCAATAGATGAGCAGTGAGGAGCCAACATAATACAAGATAATATTGTAATAATAGAAGGGAACATTCCAAAGCAGTTACAGAAGGATTTCAGATAATTAGGAGGGGAGTTGGGCAGCGATATAGATTTTAAAAGAGATAAAATAACAGATACTAAAAATATCTGCATTGAGATGAAATCCTCATGACTCAGTTCTTGAGCCAACCCCCATTCTCTAGGAATTAGTAAGATAATCATGCAAACAGGGGAGATCGTGCTCTATCACCTTGCTCTGGGCTTACACTTCCACTTCAAAGACGCATCTTAGGCTGAAAAAGGACAGACTCAGGTCCAAATTTTCAGGGGAATTGCAGTTTTTTAAAGTATGTTCTGTAGCTTTTTAAAAGCTGGTGGCTTTATTTCTACCTAGAAAAAGTTGAATAGTGAATGCTCTGGGTCTTGAAAGGCAAAAGCAGTGACAGCAGGACCCGAGACGTGTTCTTTGTATCAACCAGAATATCATTTTAAATACCTGTGACTCTGTAGGTAATAGCTGAGGAGTGACGAATCCAGCTTGCAAATAGAAACATGAAAGTGCCATTTCTTCTTTTATTTTTTTTCCCATTCTGCCCGATGTGTTTCCTGACTAGATGCATAACTTCAAAAGTATTGAAAGTCCTGTAAGTATTTAAAGTATTTTGAAAGAAATTAGCATTCTGAAAAGTATTTTGACTCACTGTGGAGTTTCAGAAAAGCAGGAATCTGTGTTAGGACAACACCAGCTACAATGTGGGTCAGATTTCCAGTGCAGATGTGTCAGAAACATTTTCTTGGAAGCTCTCCATGACAGTTAGTGAGAAGAGTGACCCAATGTTTTCTCACTGTACAAAATAACCGTTCTGTTTGATGATGTCATGGGCATGAAGCACTGCTTGTGTTTCCACAGCCCAGGCCTGTTTAAGCTTGTTTGGGAGCAGGGATTTCTCCTCTCAGAACACTCTCAAACAGGGAGTCTAGCAAGTCTCTTTGGTACATCTTGACTGATCTCAATCAGTTTTTGGAATTTTAATCATCTGGGTTTATTTCCAGATAATGACTATTTATGTAAATGAGATGCCTCATAAATAAATATGGAAATCATTCCATAATATTAATTATAGGCTTTATGGTTCAAACACTTAACATAATAAATGGTGCTGTGGATTGTCTTTGAGTTTATGGACTTAGTTATTTTGTTATTATATTTTAACTTAACTTACATATATTGGACTGTGTTTCCTGAGCTAAAAGAAGTTGTGCAACGTGCCTGGATGTATCAAAGGGTATCGAAGGACCATAAAAATCAAAATGCATCATACACTGGAAGTAGCAAATGGAACCCAGATTCCAGACTGTTTTTCTGTAAGAATCAAACAAATTAGTTTTACTTGGAGGATCTCAGCTTAAGTGTTGTTAGCCATTTACTCAAAAATGAGATAGCTCTAAATTAATTATAATCCTTTGCACTTCTATTGCTGCTTCTCCTGAGAATCTCAATAGTGTTCTACAAACATTAATTAAGCCTAATAGTACTCCTGAGAAGTGGTTAACTGACAGATACACTTCACCCCTCATGATATAAGTGAACTCCAGAACAAAACACAAAAACTTTAAACAGCAGGACTACACAAGAGTTTAGAGCCTTCAGTGAGTCAGGCAAGACTGTGGGGAATGTTTAGGTAAGTGGGATGCAATTGCTTGGCCTGGGCAGGGTTTGAAGATAAATAAAAGTGCAAATAATGAGGAACTGAGATCTCTAGTGAAGGAAAGCCGGGTTTTATGTGATGTGAGAGGAGATACCACAGCACCACAGTGCCACGTGGGGTGGCTCTGGGTGGTGAACTGGACTGATTCAGAGGAAAACTGCTATTTGCAGAAATCACCTCCAGATGGGCCAAAGAGCAGGAGCCCACATGGAACCTTTAAGGCTGATGCCTGAAGAGCAGGGACAGCAGTTAAGTCCTTCTCTCACCCCTGAGGGTACAGGAGCTGCTGAAAATAGCAGCAAACCAGCAGTATCAGTGTGTACCCTGACAGCCCCAGCCTGTTGTGTTTGCTGGAGGATCTGCATGCACAATTTCCTTCCTGATATTACTCCACAAAGAGCAGCTTTTGTTATCTTGCTCTACTGATGACAGCAATACTTAGAACAGGTTAGTGCTGGCACACACAGCGAGTTGGCTTTGGTAGATGCATTAGGACTTGGACCATCCTCAAGCAACCCTCCTGCTGCCCCATTCCCACAAAATGTGCCGCAAAGATTTGTCTCGGAGCTTCGAGGGCCTCTGGGAAGAGCCATTCCAGAACATGCTCCAGCTGTGCACAGTTATTTGCCTGCTAACAACAGGACAAGAGGTATGGCATCACCTGCTTGATCCCCCAACCCGCAGCAACACAGCAAAGCACAAAGTTTAACTGTTTTCTGCCCGGTTAATCCCAAAGGCTGTCCCCTGGGGCTCTTACCATTCCATCTTTGAGAGCTGCTCCATCCTGCAGTGCCTTGTGAGTAGTTTTAGCAGTTGCTGAGGGAAACTTTATGATGCACAGTCTGAATCCTCAGATGCATACTCTGAAATCCTGAGGAAGCCAATCGGCGCTGGGAAGTGGAATGGTAATGAGTCCGCATCAGAATTTTATTTCTAGAAATGGCTTGGAAGCAGTTGGATCTCCTCCTTGGATACATTTTCTTTCCTTTTTGTTTCCCAGCATCTCTGTGCTTCTGGGACCACAAACTCTCACATAAATATTGGCAACACATCCAGTCTACCTGCTGGAGAAAAATCTGCTCATTTTATCCGAGCGGAACGCCGAGTCAACGCAATCAGACAATCAGACTTTATCCTTCCTCATATACAGTAACATTCTTAATTGTATTTGTGAACTGTAATTCATGACATACACGACTCTGATGCCTAATGAACTGAATGCTTCTGCTGAGTTCAGTGGCCTTTGGATCAGACCCTGTGTTTGCTCCATTTCCCCATATTTTTAGCTGCTTCAGTAAGTTCTTTACCTAGAGAAAGGCCTGAAACTTCTTTTTTTTCCCCCCATACATGCATGATAACTCTACTGCCTGTTTTATAATTTATAGTCAGTAGTTTCCCTGGAGTGCAAAAGGCTTTTCAGAAATACTATACTTGAATCAGTAAAAGGAAGGGTAACTGCACTGTGGTACTGCAGCATCATAATATTTAAATACTTTATTATTTCATAATCTGCCCTAGAATTTAATCATTCCGAGCAGGGACAGTCTCTTTATGTCAAAAGGGAGAAGTTCCAGATTTTCAAATATGCATATATTAAAAGAGCCCATGAAGATGTTGCCTCATTTCCAGTGTGATCCCAGCTTGCCAAAGGCTCCATTTCAGTGCACAATGCTCCGGATGCAGATCCATTACTGCACCATAAAGTGGGTTACTGGACAGGGGAAGGCAATTCATCCTCTGAAATGCAGAGTCTTGTTTGGCCAGTTATAGGGTTTACAATAATCCATTCTCATTATCTTTATGGTTATTTTTACCAAGGTTACAGATGGGTCTATCTGGAAGATACTCTGTTGGGTTCTCTTGGAGCCTCATCTTTCCCCCCGTGGATGTCAATGAGCAGTGCACACAGCACAGCCAAGTGAGTTCAAAAAGAATAAAACTGGTCAGAAAGTGAACAGATTAAGCCCCAAATTGCACACTTAAGAAACTGAAATCGCTTTGCCTATGGAATCCAGCCTCTGCCAGGAAAAACTGGGAAGAGTAATAGCTGCCTTTTTTTTTTAAAGCCTCATGAATTATAAATCATCACATCTCACAATCCTGGGACACAGTCAATTACAACCACGTCCTGGGACAAGGAAGTCCTCCATTCTATTCCTGGCTCTGTCACTGACCATCTGCCACTTGTCCTCTGCCTTGCTGGAGTTTACCCATGTGTAAAACACACTTAAAATAAGCTAAACAATACTCTGAAAATTACTTGAGTGCCACAAGCTAGAAATTTGGGGTTGCAACATGGAAAAAAATGGTTCTGCGGTTGCCAGTCCGTAGAAAACCAGCGTGTCTCGCTGCCTGCACTGCGGGGGAGGCTAAATCTGGCTGCCAGGGCTCCACCCTGCACTTGAGAGGCAGCAGAATCCCACAGGAACGCCTGGTGCCAGCCCACCTGCACTGCGTGCAGTTGTTAACTTGTTTAATTAACTCACTACGCACAACAAGGATCTGATCCAACACGGACTGGAGTTAACAGGAAGAATTCTGCTGACTTAATGATCTCGGGGTCGGTCTCCTCGTGCATGTAGAGACCACTGCCCAGAGATCCCGAAAATCCCCGGGAAGGGAAAGGCTTTGTTTGACTGACACATAGACACATCTCTGTGCACTGAGCCCGGCAGGAGCTGGGCACGCAGTAAATCTGTCCCTGCCTGTACAGTAGCACTATTCACTGGTGCTGCTCTTTATTCACAAATAAATACAGCAACTACAGCCATGATTCTCCACAGACCCTTTCGCACATGGTTTCAGATGAGCCCTAATGTGGAAAATTGATGACAAGCTACACAGGAAAGCTCCGCGGCGAGATCTGTTAGGAGAGGTGACTTGACAAAGGTGGTGACAAGCTAATAACGAAATGGAACACTGCAATTAAATGTGCTGGTGGGGATGAAAGTGTGCCAGAGCCGAGAGCGTGAGCAGCAGGTAGGTCAGGGAGAGAAAGCAGCAGAGGCTTGATGGAATCAGGTGGGAAGGAGGGGGAGATGTAAGAACAAGAAAGACAGGACAGAGATGAGCACTGTTGGCTGGGATGGCAGCACTGGGCAGAAACTCCTTTGGTGTTTGTGTCAGGCCCTGCACAGCGAGATCCCCGTCCTCGACCGCAGTTTGTTGACCTTGACACAATGTGTAATTAAATGCAGATAATCCTAGAAGGACAGAAATGCTGGAGGGAAATAAATCAACGGCAAATCAAAGACATCTACAAAAAATTCTACCTATAAAATTACGTAGTAAAGTTATTAGTATGAAAACTGCCACGGAACATTTTAGGAACTTTGTTTCTCTAAAATGAAAGTTTCCATTAGGAATAGTCAAGAATATTTTCATGGCTGTGAACTTAAACCCTGCAAAGCGAACTATTCATACATCAGACCAGGGATTTTGCCTCAGTACAACAGCAGCTGAAACAATACTCTTAAAAGTAGGAGCAATACCCATTAATCTTGGGTGTTAACACTGAAGCCTAAAAATTATGCCCACGTGAAAAACGAGCAAGGGTAGAGACAAAAGAACACTTTGCATGTCAAAATTACTATCACGAGCCAGAAGATGGACGTCACCATCGCTATTTGAAAAGCATTTCCAGGATTAAAACATAGCATTTGGAAACATTTCTGCTGGCACATTAAATAATTTAATGCTGCTGCCCAGGTAGAGACTGGCTTGTGTCAGCTGAGGCGTTTCCTACCTGAGGGGTAGGAGGAGCAGCATTTCTGCTATAAACAACCAAATTAATAAAAGCATGTGAGGGGAAAAAGCCCTATTTTATACTTTTTTTGCTTTTATATTCTATTTGGTCAGATTTTTCAGAGGGACGAGGTAAACCAATACAGTAGGTTTGAACATATTCACAGACAAATTCAGAATTTCATACGGATCTTGTGTCTTTATGACGAGACACATCTAAACCCTCAAGCCAAACATCCAGAACGGAGGGAAGCTTGAATTTAAAGGCAAAATGGTATGGTCAGAGCCTATCCCTAAACATCACTATGGTATAAAATTTGGATACTCAGGGTTGCAGATGCCAGAAAAGTAGTATTTCTGTGTGGGTACAGGCAGGAGGACTCGTTCTGTAGCGCTCAGCAACATCTTGACACGCTGCACTAATCTTAGCTGCACGCTCTTAAAAGATTATTTTTGTCCCGGGTTCTTTTTCTAGTCTTTGATGCAACAGCCTGCTGCGGGTTACATCAAGCCTGCAGAAAATCCCTCGGTTTTCTCATCCCTTGTTTTCCAGACAGCCGGCACCTCCTCCGGGTCCAGGCGACGGGCGCCGCAGGTGAGCCAAATCCCGGCCTATTTGGGCCGGAGATTAATTTCTTTTTAAACCAAAGGTGCCGTTTGGATTAGAGGGCTGACGTGGGGGGAGTTCTGCGGTCTGCGCGTTGCGTTTTAGGCGCTTCCATCGAGGGCGCCCCGCTCCCCCCTCACGGCTCGGAACCGCCGGCGCCGCGCTCCGTGAGGGGGAAGGCGGGAGCGGCCGGACCCGCGGCGTGAGGGAAAGGCGGGAGCGGCGGGGCCGCGGCGTGAGGGGGAGCCCTGAGGAGGGAGCGGGAGCCGGGGAGCGGCGGGGCACGACCGCCTCCCCTCAAGGAGCGGCGGGACCCGCGCCCGCCCCGCCGCGCTCCCGAGTCACGGCCCGCCTCCCCCGCCCCGTGACAGCCAAGATGGCGGCGGAGGGGAGGGGGGATCCCGCCTGAGCCGCCCACACGGCGGGAGGCGGCGGGGGCGAGCCGGGCTCCGCTGGGATGCGATAAGGGCGCGGGCACCGAGCGCGCTGCCCCCCGCACCTCCTTCGCTGCCCGCTCCTCGCCCCGCGGAGCGCGGCCCTCGCCTGAGGTGAGGGCGGCGGGGCTGTCACGGCCGCGGGGCGCGGGGCGGGGGGTTCTCCGCGGGTCGGGGCCGGCGGGGAGGGGGCGCGGGGCTGTCAGCGCGGGCGGGGAGGCCGGCGCGGGCGGGCCGGGGGCTGGGGCGGCGCGGGGGCGGCGGGAACTTCGCGCTGGGCCGCGGTGGGAGGGGGGAAAACTTTCTCCTTTCTCCTTGCGCCCGGCGGGCCGAGGCTCCCGCCGGGCCCGAGGGGCTCCCTGGGCGGCGGTGGCGGCGGCGGGGCCGGCCGAGCCCTCCCCGCCGGCCGTCCATGTTGCCCGGGCCGGGGCGCGCGTGTTCGTGTTCGTGTGTGCCCCAAATCCACCCCCATCCTCGGTGTGCTCCGCGGACCCACGCGGGTGCGCGCTGCCCGCATCCCTGTGTGTGTGTGTGCGTGTTCCCCGAATCCACGTGCGGATTTTCCACGCAGCAGCAGCAGCAGCAGCACCAGCAGCGCTGCGTCAGCCGGAATCGCCCCGCGGGTGCTCAGCCCCTCTGGGTGCCGAGCCTGTGTCCCGGCTTTCCCTTCGGCGAGCTCCGGGTTATCCTACACCTGGATTAATGCGGCGCGCTGCTAAAAATGAGCCCTGACGTTTTTATCGCCCTTCCGTCATGAGGTCTCGCGCGTAGCACAAGTTGCTGGCCGGGGGGACGATGATATTTAATAACTTCCCGGCGATGGTTGTTATTCTGGAGTTAACTGCGTTTAGGAACGTGCCGCTTCTCCTTTGCTAGAAATGAGGTCTTGACTTGGTGCCTGGGTCTGAAACTTCTTTTTTTATTTTTTTTTTTTTTTTGAATTAACGGAGTGGAAGTGTGGTGTTCTGGGCAGCTTTTTGCTTCATTTCACAATTTTTTATTTCTGGAACTGTTGCTCAAGTGGAGGTTTCCGTAAAAAGTGTTACGTTACAGTGCATAATCTTTCACTTTCTGAATGATTAAACCCAAATATTTAATCTTGGCAAGTATCTGGTGGTTTAGGGAAACTAATTGAGTTAGTCTAGCCAAGGAAGGTCGAGGGGAGTAAATGGATTATTTCTGGTTTGTGTGTCTAGCAGACAAGTCTTACTTTGTAAGAGTCTCCTGCTTCTCCCATCTTGT